TCACCTGTGGTCTGTGTGTGTGTTCACTTTCATTTCCATAAAACCCAAAACCTTATCAGAAAATACATTATAACAGCCAAGCCAAGAGTAGATCTATGTATGGAATACCAAAAACACTGGCCTAAAATCAGTGGTGGGATTCAAATAATTTAACAACCAGTTCTCTGCCCTAATGACCAGCTGGGTAGGCGTGATTCGGTAGTCATGTAACTATGGGCATGGCCAACTCAACTTCACTCACATTGATGGGCACTTCGACTTATCTGTTACAATGTAATAAGGGTTAAGCAGAGAGACAGTTTCTGTAAGCAGGGCAATAAAGATTAGGCTAGAAACAACACCAGAATGTTTCCTTCCTGTCTTCCTTACACGATTAGCTCTGTAAAGTGGAAAAAAACAAAATAAGATTTCTTCTAACAACCGGTTCTCCGAACTGCTTAGAAAGTTAACAACCGGTTCTCCCGAATAGGTGCGAACTGGCTGAAACCCACCACTGCCTAAAATTAAGAAAACACTGCTCACATCGATCACAGTATGACAATGGGGGCAGGAGCTTGTATTCATTCAAGTATTCTGCTGGAGTCACAGGCCACTGACAAGCAAGGACAAATTCTGAAAATAGTGATGAATCTTAAAGCAGAAAATGGAACTTGCTAATTTATTTCCAAATGTACTACCTTGTTTTCCCAAAAATAAGACCCTGTCTTTTTTTTTTTTTTTTTTTTTGAACCCTGAAATAAGCGCTTGGCCTTATTGCCATACACTCAAAAGCCTGATTGGGCTTATTATCAGGGGATGTCTTATTTTGGGGAAAACAGGGTAGCAAGCTCCTCCATTAAACCATTTCAGAAGAGCCCTTGGAGCATGGGGCCACTAAATACATCAAGACAGCACCCTAGTCTACCCCTCCTTATTTTAGCACTGGTAATATATAGATGTAGATGTTGATGTAGAAATAAATATAGGTAGATATACTGTAGATACTGTACAGATATAGACCCATACATTTATCCATATCTATCTGTTCCAAGGTTCAGCAGGATTTGTTCGGCAAGAACCAAGCTCCCGCTGGCATCTGAAATTATCTGCAATCTGTAGGTGGTTGAAACAACATGTCTCACTTCTTGTTCTATATTTTTGCTACTCTGTTTATCTCAGCTTTGGGGTCAATTTTCAGAAAACAAATATGCTAATGGTTTGGTTTCTTAGGTGGCCTAGAGATTGCTGCTTCAATTAACTGTAATAGGGCAACATGCCTGCATCAAACAGTTGCTGATAATAGTGCCAGCATTATTTTGTGGTGCCGTATGAGGTGAATGGAAAACGTGACCTGAGGAAGTCCTCAGAGAAGTGAAAAGGATTTGCCCATTTGCTGTTACCCAAACCCACATTTTTCTTAACCACTCCCATGTCTGGTGTTTGCTTTGAAAAAGAGCCAATTGTTTAATACTTAATCAAAACAACAAGGAACAGCCTTCAGTTATACGTGTGTATGTGTGTGCATGTGTGTTCTGGATCCCTTTTTCCCTTGTTGGAACCTCCTCTAATTATAAATGCAGCTTCCTGTCATTTGACATGAGAAACAGATGAAAGATCTAAAATAAGGTGACCAGATTTTAACATTGGTAAAGAGGGACATTGTGGGCGTGGCTTATTTTGTGGGCGTGGCTAGCTGGTCATGTGACTGGGTGGGCGTGGCTAGCTGGTCATGTGACCGGGTGGCCATGGCTATGTGTATAGGGTAAGGTGAACAGATTTTAACATTGGTAAGAAGGACACCATTGTGGGTGTGACTTATTGTGTGGGCGTGGCTTGGAGGCCATGTGACTGGGTGGGCGTGGCTAGCTGGTCATGTGACCGGGTGGCCATGGCTATGTGTATAGGGACTACTCAGAGGGCTGAAAAGTCATTTCTGACAGGTCCTCACACTTTTGACTGGTCCTCACACTTATGACCATCCTCATATTTATGCCCATGCAGCATTCTTAACAACCATGTCACTCATTTCACAACTGCTTCTCTTCACCATGATGACAAGATAGGGCAAAAATGTAAAATGTGAGGACAGTCATAAGTTCAAGGACTGGTCAAAAGTGTGAGGACCAGTCAAAAATAACTTTTTCAGCCCTCTGAGTAGTCCATATGCATTAAAGGATACAGCAATAGAGAGGGATGAAGGAATGGAAATTAGAGTAGGAGTGAGGGTAAGAGAGGGAGGAAGAGAGGAGGAGAAGGAGAAAGGAAGAGGAAGTAGGGAGGAGAAAAAGAGGGTGGGGGGAAGAGAAAGTAAGAAGGAAAGAAAAGAGAGTGGTGGTAGGTTTGAGGAGAAAGATTGCTGTACAATAAAAAAGATGAAAGGGAAGAAAGCCAACCCCAAGCAAATATAAAGATATTAAGATTAAGAATGAATTGTTAAACTTTAAAGAATAAAAGAGAACAAATATGAATAAATGGCAATAATTAGAAACACACATACAAACATACAATGTATTTTCTTTGAACAGAATATTTGGCTGGTTCACAAATTTAAACAGCGTTTAGTCATTTCAATTAAATTTACAATTTCTATATTTCCTTTTTGCCATATTTATTCCTCATCTATTTTTTTTTAAAAAACAATATTACCCTTCATCCTCATCTCTAATCTTAATCAAATTCAATTTTTCCCTTCTATTCTATATTATACCCCTTCCCATTGTCATCTATTTTTATATCCATCCTCACATTGGTTAATTATGTAATTATGTAATACAGTTGTTTAATACAAATTCAACATTTTAATATAAATCAATTAGTTATATAACTATCTTTTTTGTATATTAATCAATATGAACATGAATATTCCAATTATTTCCATGCAATCCAATTTCTTACAAATCAATTAATTATATTTACCAATAATAATAAACCAAATAATTTCCCCCATATATTCCTCCAAACCACAACTTAACCATTTCTGCTTTCAACACAATATACAATTATTAATAGTATCTCAATTATTACAATTCCCTAGTTAAATAGAGCTTTTTTTCTTTTGTGTTTTAAAATCTTGAACTCTCCTCTTTTGCCCAAAATTTCCCATTGTTTGCAGTTTTGTACCTACCTTTTTTGGTGAGGAAAAAGAAAAAGAAAAAGAAAGAAATCTCTCTCTGCCTCATTTTGTCACGTTGCAGGTTTAGTTTCGCTTTCGCCTTTGTTTTCAGTATAGCTAGGGGGAAAAAAATCTGCTCCAGGAACTTTTTGCAGCTTTTTGCAGCTAATTAACCTAGCGGAAGCTGTTAACAGGGGCTGTTTTTTCTATTTTTGCAGGCATGGGTCTATTCATTTTTTTTTAACACTGATCAGCTGTAGGTCGGCCCTTTGAAGCCCCGCGGCAAGAGTTTAAAGAGTTTTTTTTCCCTCTAGCCATCAGCGGGGATTCAGGAGGCAGCCGGGACTCAGGAGGCAGAATGAAAAATCAGGACTTTTTTAAAACGCCGCGGGACGCGGGACAAATTGCTCAAAAGCGGGACTGTCCCGCCAAAAGCGGGACGTCTGGTCACCTTAATCTAAAACAAAGGTTTTCAAACTTGGCCGCTTTAAGATTTGTGGACTTCAACTCCCAGAATTCTCCAGCCAGCAAAGCAAAGCTGGTTGGAGAATTCTGGGAATTGAAGTCCACAAGTCTTTTTTTATTTAAAAAGTTTTACAAATACATTTTCTCCCCAATTCCCCCCCCCCAAGCCCCCCATACCCTCCCTAGCCCTCCCCTTTTCCCCCCAGGACTTCCACAAAATAAAATCCTAATCAAAAATACATTTTATGAAACTTAAGCCCCTCCACCCCCTATATACTATTTGTACCTTCATAAAACTCAATTAATCTATCCCTACATAATACATTCATTCAGCTAAAAGCTATCTGATATTTCCTAGTTTGATATTTATTCTGCACATAATCTATCCACTTTTTCCACTCCCATACATAAGTCTCTTGAGTTTGGTCTTTTAAATATGCTGAAATCTTCGCCATCTCTGCAAAACTGGCCATCTTCAAAGTCCATTCTTCAATAGTGGGCATAGCTTCATTTTTCCAATATTGACCTATCAGTAATCTCGCTGCTGTCACCATATACAATATCAGCTTTGTTTCACCCATTGTAAGACCCTTGACTATACCCAATAAAAACAATTGTGGAGAAAACTGAAGTTTTTTCTTCAAAACATTTTGCATAATCCACCAAATTTTTATCCAAAAAGCCTTCACTTTCTTGCAAGTCCACCACATATGGTAATATATGGCATCTAAGCAATCACATCTCCAGCATTTTGGTTGAACATTAGGATACATACACGATAATTTCTTAGGATCTAAATGCCACCTATAAAACAAGTCTTAAAGCGACCAAGTTTGAAGACCTCTAATCTAAAACATCACATTTAACAGAAAACTATGCCAAAACCTTACTCTGGGTGCATATGTGCTATAATTCTGCCCATTCTACAGCATTTAGCTCTTCTCCAGAAGCCACCAATTTCTGATTACAAACAATAAAAGTAATCCAGGAAATCTTAGGTCTTGCTTGCTTTCTTCTCTCTGCCTATTTTCTTTCTTGACAGAGATAGGGATTGAACTGGTACCTCATAAACATATGGTCCTTGTCTTGCTTTTATCTTATTTGTTTTTATTTATTAAACACCGTTTTATTGATTTAATACTATGGCATACAGTAGGCATATTCAAAAAGGCTTTTCAAAGGTTGAGGGAACCAAAGATACAGCATACTGTCTTGCTCTGTATGTTGAATGACACTTTGGTGAGGTGGGTAATACCTAAAATTATGTCTATAAATAATGCTTGGAAACTTCTTCTCCCGCTTTGAACATGCCATGACATGGAAGGTATCATTACTATTTTGGCTCCTTTCGGTGAAATCCTACTAAATTTCTTTTCCAGGACCGAAGACCTGAGTCCAAGCAAGGAAAAGAGATGTCTAGAGGAAAATCACAACATTTCCTGCCATGACAGAAAAATTTGACCTGCCAATGGCAGATTACAACCAGCCCAAGCTTCTTTATTGCAGCAATGGTGGTCAGTTCCTGAGGATCCTTCCAGATGGGAAAGTGGATGGAACAAGGGACAGGAATGACAACCACAGTAAGCAGCTTAATTGATCCAAATAGGAGAAAATATTATTCTGTGCTATTACAAAGCACTTACAACTGTTTACAAAGGCTGTTTCTAGATCTGGGCAGCTGTTGATCCAACAGTCATGAATCCCCTTTAATGTCTAACTGGGCCCTTAGTTATTTTTAACAGATGTATAATTTGGAGGGGGAAAAAGCTCTCCACAGTCTTAAACATAATGTTTGTCTGGATTACACTGTTGCACCCATGTTCATTTGGACTAAATCCATTGACAGTTGCCTGTATGCCTTTAACCACATCTATTATTACAGTGAGAAGCCACAAACATATTGAAAATAGTGCCATGCAGTGGGCAAAGGGTTGAAGAAATGGCACCCATGAGCTAAGCTGAATCACAGGCAGGGGATGCCAAATATCATTCAGTCTATACGGCTGAGAAAATCATGGGCTCAGCTCTAAAATCCTCTTTGACTTGGTCCATGAAGAATTGATTCTTTCCTCTGAGCCTATCTTCATACCTCAGTCACAGACATGCCCATCATATGTTCTGTATGAATGCATGCACATGTAATGTGTATGTATATATAAAAATTATTCAATCGCAACATCTCTATCTAGATTTCAGGCACAAGAGCCCACATTTTAGGAAATTTTACACCAGCAATTGTGGTACCAGTAACCAGTTCTCTAAAGAAGACTACAGGAAAATCAGGCATGTTTCTGCTGTGGCAGCAAAAGCTATAAACATGTCATATAAGTATTTAAAGCTTGTAGCTACTCTCCTTTACATATATTAAATCTTCTACTGACATTCCCTTCTTGATAATACCCTTTGTTTGAAGTGGCATCCTTGCACTAATTTAAAGTCTGTTGTCTTGCCAAGACAAAATGCCTTTTATGTCTGTTTGTGCAGGATGTATTCGCAGCTCCGATTCATTTTCCTGAGGGAGTAGAATCTACTGAAAAGCCTCTTCTGTGCCATAACAGCCTGGAAAGAGGAAATGAGAAGGCTAGAGAATCTGCAGGAGTCAATCTTTATTTCTTAGGACACAAACAATTTGGTCTATTGATCCGAAGCGATTGCTCTTTGTGCCACACTCAATAAAAATGCCCAGTTGACTGAGAAGCTGACAAAATGCAGTTTTAACCCTTCTTTGACGTGTTATTAACTAGAGCATGAAGTTCACTGATTTTTGCCACTGCAAAATCCTGTTTCAGATTTAATAATCTTCACAATGGACCACTCCGGCCAAATATTTCTGTAGTAACAAGAAAGGTACAAAGCAAAATTGTAACCCATCAATCAGGCTCCTTAACTGTATAGAGGCAAAATATCCAATCAGATGCCTGAGATTTATCCCCTATCAGGATAGGAAGTAGACGAGACAAGGCAGAGAGTGAAACCTTCTCCCTCCTTTGGGATTTTTTTTTCCCTTTTATTTTGTCTTGGTTTTTTTTTTTTTTTTTTGTGCCTTTGAATTAATCTTGACTCCTGGTGATTGCCTGGACAACCCCTGTCATTTTCTTTGCAAGATTCTGAACTAATTTGCCATCCCCTGCTTCTTCTTAGGACTGAGAGATAATGAGTGGCCCAAGACCATCCAGCTGACATCATGCCTAAAGTGGGACTTTTGCTGGGAGATATTATTATTCTGGTTGATTGCAAAGTCAGTCAGATGTTTAGGCTGGGTTTGGGATTTTGGTCCACTTATCTAGTCCTTCCAAAGGACAGGGGATAGGCAGATATTGTTGTTTAAAAATATTAAAGATATCGCTACAGGATATATCATTATGGTTCATTGCACAATCAGCCGGATGCTCGGACTGGATTTGGCATGTGTACCGATCAAGTGGCTGATGTGGATATTTGATGGTATTATCATTTTGGTTCATCGCACAGTCAGCCAGATGTTCAGACTGGATTTGGCTGGATTCCACCTATTGAGTCCTTCCTAAGGACCTAAAATAGGCAGATGCGGCTGTATTAAAGGTATCATCACAGGATGTAATTATTAGGGTTATTAGGGTATGCAGATGGTCCCAGATTTAGTGCTACCTAACACAATAGCTGCATTTAGCTGACTTTATTTGATCTGAAAATTAAGCAGATCAAACTTGGTCAGTGACTGTTCTGCCCCAGCTCCGGATTTCCGAAGTTATTGACACACACCACACCAACCTTATCAAATTTATTAAGTAGCAAGAATAAACCAAAGTCCGGCAAAGGTTGGCAACCAGCCCAGAAAACAAAATATGATAAGACTGTTCCAAAAATGCTCTGATGATAATTACAAGTTGTTTCCAGCAAGAAACTTACTAACCGCGTGTGACTTAAATAGGCTAAGGGAGTGGCCAATTATCCTGAAGCCTTACTCTCAAGGAGACCTTGTCCTCCTGAGTAGCCACTCCTGCCTTTTGGCAGCCCTGCGTGCTCGAGCATTGAGAAGAGGCTCCTCCACTTCACTATCTCCACTTGAAGGAGCCTCTGGAGGTTCTGAAGGCCCTGGCACCACATCCTCTTCAGCCTCCTTGCTGTCCGATGCGAGTGCCAGCGACACCACACCAGCCTCCTCGTCGTCAGGATCAGCCACGATCCGCGCAGGCCACTGGCGGGCCACAACAGTGATTGAGTGGGAGACTCTCGGGTAATCCCAAGATTCTAGCCCAAACTATTAATTTAAAAGAGAAATCCTAAAATGGCAAATGACTTCTGTATCATAGCAAAGGAAGCTACATGGTTGAAGCGCTAGATCATCAACAACTGAGCTTCACTCAAGGGAGATGAGCTTTACTTGTTTAAAAAAAATAGAGTTCAATTATTCCATGTTTCTATTATTCAACAGATTTTTATGTGGTAAGAAAGAAAAATATGGAATCAGTGCGAAAACATGGGTGGGTAACAAGTGAAAGTTGCCAACATAAATCTGAATCAGATCGGGATGTGTAGTGACTGTACAACTAACATCTCATCTAGAAGGGCCCTACCTCTGCTAATATCTATTCAGTGGTACTGCAACGTAGAAAAGTGGCCTTTGGCCTCTGATAGGAAGCAAGTTTCCCCATGCTATCAATTAATCTGCCTTTCTCTTTCTTTGTGCTTTTACAGGTTTACAAATTGGCTGTTTGCTTTATGAACTGCATGACTCTATAATATATCTGCATGATTTATCTACGTCTTCTTCAGCATTTCTCTTTTTCTGCGTTTCTAATATATTAATCATATTTATACTATGAGAACCTTGAAATATTTGATGCTAGGATGAAATTTCTTGTCAGTGAAAACTGAGTAGCGTGATGGCAGAAGATGAAAGAATAATAAGCTGAGCTTTATTGCTACTATTTGTACTACATCTAGATAAGCAGTATTTGATCAGCACGCACACAAGCACAACAACTTGGGTTCTCAGTAGGGTCTTCTGTACTTCAGTTTATATATTGTGCATTGCTGAGACTAACTGGAATCCAGCTGGATTCCTTGGTGCAAGATGTGCTGAAGATGGAGTCAAATGCACAGGCCAATTCTAAGAAAAGCACTTATTTTAAAAAAAGAAAAGCCACAAGAACACTTGGTTTTCTGCCCCTGCCCCAGCTCTGCTCTTTCTTCTTTTCTGAAGTCAGTTTATGGTTGAGGTTTATTAGAAATAGCATTTACATACTCATGCTTGCACCCTCAACACTGGTCTGAATGAAGATGATCTCATCCTGAATAAACACAGCAAAGGACAGGCAGGAAGTTGCTAATGTAGAGTAAACTGGCATATTGCCTTTCTGAAATCTTGTTCAAGCGATAGAGGTAGGAAAGCAAACAAGGTAGAGACTCTGTAAAAGCACAAGTGTGCTTCCAGTTTTCAAGAACAAGCACAAGACAAAATGCCACATGCTGTGAAATCACTTATCAGGAATCCGTGCCCAAGGAGGCAGCCTGATCCTACATAGGCTAAATGGGACTCACCTTTTGGAAATTTTGGCTAAGTATCCTCATGTCTTGACTGTCCCCTCTGGATCTCCCCTGCAGGGATCTGGACTTGCTGATATCCTGTGGTCACTCTGGGATCTAAAAATGTATATAACAAATTCTTCATGTCTCATAGAGTTGGTTTCTTAAAAATCAGCCATTTCCATCCATGCTGTAGGCCTTTTCCCACTCACTAAAATGTCATGCATGGAAAGTGTAACGCGGCTAAAATATAACACAAGCTTTTGCCAGCACTTTGAATTTCAACATTAGGTTCCAGCAGTAGCCTAGTCAAAACACTTATGATAAAGTGCTTAGATATAAAGTGTAAATCAAAACCATATCTCTCTTCTAGAAAGCAGTTCTTCAACCTGGTTTCCTCCAATTGTATGGAGCTTTAACTCCCAGAACTCCGGGGGTAGTATGACCATGGACACCAGGTTGGCCTGTTCCTATTGCCCTTATTCTTCTAGGTGTCAATGATTCATTATCTTGACTGTCCGATAACCAGCTTTTCAAAGCAGTCCACTGGCTTTGTAACTTCTCTTCAAGCAAAACCAAGTAATAGGAGCAATACCTAGCATCTAGGCTTGGGTGAAATAGTTTCCCATGTAACTAGAGAAAACTTCCACAAGAAAAAGAAGTAGCACAGCCATGATGACAAATGCCAAAAATGCACAGAAAGCCACTTCAAGTCTCCAACCCGAAAAAGAGATCTACCTCGAAGCCATTATGCCATTGCAGAATGCATGTGTGAATCAGTCCCATAAATGGACGCACCAGATAAGAAAAGAAACTAATTTCATGGCAACAGAAGGGAAGATGTTTAGATCGGCAACTGCACATCCATCAGCTAGACAGGAGTTATGAGAATGAGAGAAAAACTACTTGTATAAATGCTTGGCAGCAGTGGTGGAATCCAAATTTTTTTACTACCGGTTCTGTGGGCATGGCTTGGTGGGCGTAGCAGGGGAAGGATACAGCTAAATCTCCATCCCTCCCCACTCCTGGGGGAAGGATATTGCAAAATCTCCATTCCCATCCCACTCTGGGGATAGCGTGGTATTTGCCAGTGGTATTTGCCCGTTCTCTGAACTACTCAAAATTTCCACTGCCGATTCTCCAGAACCAGTCAGAACCTGCTGGATTTCACCCCTGCTTGGCAGGTTTAATAGAGGAAGTTTCTCATCGTCTCCATGCTCATCAAGGATAGAAGCCCCAGCAACACATGTTTAAATACTATGAAATAGAGAGAGGCAATGAATTATAGTAGGTAGGAGCCTTCTGGAGCAGGGGTCTCCAACCTTGACAAAGCTGGCTGGGGAATTCTAGGAGTTGAAGTCCTCCAGGCTTAAAGTTGCCAAGGTTAGAGACCCCTGTTCTGGAATATTACATCCAGTCCCCTGGTCTAGGGGAAATGGAATAAAAAGAAAGTCAGGCTGGCAGCCTGTGTGTGTGTGTGTTTATGTCTGTGTGTCTAGGTGTCTGTGTTTGTGTGTGTGTAGATGTGGATGCTATCTTGACTTTTTCCTTTACCCCCAACCCCATAGACACCGTCGCACTGGTCAGGACAGGTATCCAAATTAAAGCCTCCTTACAAGATCAAGAGTTTCTGTTTGAATGTAAGGCCATTCTTTCAAGTCTTCCCTCTGCAACCATAGAGAAATTTTCCAGTATGGTATTTTTTTCAGACGTATAAGACGGCTTTTTTATGGAGCTTTCCATTCCCCGAGTCTTTTTTTTTTTTTTTTATATATGTACGTCACACATATCTGCATTTCAGACCAGGCTTCAGGCTTTTTTGAAGCTGCCCAAAATAGGCCCAACTTCAGCATGAAAGGTACAACTTGATGCTCTAGGATTGCATGCTACTCTAAAAAGATTTTTTTTTCAAAAAGGAGTGAACCCCCAGAGTTCCTTCAAGTGTAACCAAGGAATTTTAGTGCTCCAAGTGACAGAAGAAGAACATTATTAACCTGGGAAGTAAGGATATTAACTGGATTTTTTTTTTTTTTTAAAGTCCTACATTAACATTACTTTTGTTTGTTCCTGCCCACTTTTTGGGTCTGTGCTTTTCTATGACTGAGAAAATCCAAACCCCTAAGTTTGAAGGGCTTGCTTTTGTTGTCATAAAATCGTAAGAAAAATCCTGCTGCCTGTTAATTCAGCCTTTGGTTTTCAAAAATGGCCGGATATTCTGGGTATTCGCAAACCAGGAGCACACACACATAAAGGCATTCTGTTTTCATAGCTGTTGGGTGATGACAGCCTTTGAATTTGTTAATATTTCCTAACAACCACCTGATTTAGTGTTCAGTTCTGGTTTTTTACATATGAATTTATTTCTTCTACTTCTGTTTCTAACCTGAAGCTCCCAGAAGTTCTGGCTAATATTTTCCATAGCTGGGAATTCCGGAAACAGTACTGTAATTCAACACATTTTTAAAAAATTCCAATTTGGGGAAAGATTCCTGAACACATCAGGGAGGGAAGCAGGCAGGCAGGAAGGCAGGAAAGCAGGAGGTAAGAAGGCAGGAAGGGAGGGAGGAGGGACGGAGGGAGGGAGGGAGGGTGGGAGGAAGGAAGGAAGGAAGGAAGGAAGGAAGGAAGGAAGGAAGGAAGGAAGGAAGGAAGGAAGGAAGGAAGGAAGGGCTGATTAGGGGTAAAAAAAAAATCATTAGGTATCACTCTTGAATTATAATTTTCTCTCTTTTCTCCTGGAAATAGTTTCAAGCCAACACATTCTTTTAAAAAATGTATGTTTGCTAACTAATGCTAGAAATGAATTTATTGTAAATGAGTTATTAAACTTGGACATCCTGATGAAAAAATATTTACAGAGGAAACTCTTTAAACAGTTATGTGCCAGTGGAATAACCCTAGTTACAGAGTACACTTCTTGGTACAGACTGTGTAAATAAACTTGGGTAGTGCCCTTACTTTCCACAGCCCATTAAGCTAATGCAATTATATTTGTATAGAGCTAGGAAGGGATTCAGAAAAGCCTTGGTTCTGTCTTCGGAAACCAGGCTTGGCAAGTTGAGGTCCCTGATCTGCATGAGGTTCTCAATCCTTCCTTTGGCAAGTCAATTAGGCTATACCATGCCCGACACACACATTTTCATGAAATCAGAAGTTCCTAGGATAACATCATTATATTATCAGTCTTGGCAATTAACTTAGTCCGCACTGCACAGCTTCAACAATAGTTATGTATTAACAGTGACTCATAATCCCTCCTTTTTTTTTCTTTCAAACTATAGTTCAGTTACTGCTCAGCACAGAATATTTTGGTGCGGTGTACATAAAGGGCATTGGATCTGGATTGTACTTGGCTATGGATATCAATGGACGCTTACATGGCTCGGTAAGTATAAAGTTTCCATGATAGAAGCTTTGAGGCTAGCAAAGATCTTGTAGCTTGGAGAGCTTGGAATCAAAAATCATTCACACATGCACCATTAAATGTCACTTGTTTTTGCTGCTGAGTGGATGTTTTTTGGCCAATCTTTATTTCTGGAAAAAGAAAGAGAAATATTCAAAAACAACATTCTGAAACATTTTAGAAAGTGGCAGTGTTCCTCCAGATAAGATGAAACCATTAGAAGGAACTGAGACATATTTAAATCTAAATGAAATAAGACCCATCCAGTAATCGGGTTTGCTAGCTTTTGCTGGTCTATGTAATAAAAAAGAATTGAGGGGAAGACTTGCTATCAGCCTTGCAAGATAAATGGAAAGTACCTTGCTAAGCAGCAAGGATCTGGAGCAAAAGGGTTAATTTTATCACCTGCCAAAAGGCAGCAGATACTCAGACTTTCCCACCTAGTTCTAAAGTTGGACCAGAAAGAGTCCAACTCTTCCACAATCCAAACACAATCACGATGGTCCTTCAGTGCCATAAACGGTTTTGGTCATTGTATTTGCTTCCCTTCTGAATGCTCCCAAACTCTTTTTCTTTAGCAGTTGCCAACAGCAGAGTGTGTGTTCCTGGAGAAATTGGAAGAAAACAATTACAATACTTACAAGTCAAAGATGCACGCAGATAAGAACTGGTATGTTGCCTTGAAGAAGAATGGAAACAGCAAATTGGGACCGAAGACTAATTATGGCCAGAACGCAATTCTTTTCCTTCCTCTGCCAGTGTCACCTGATTAGATTGCTTCTGCTCCTCCCCTCCGTTAGAAAAGTTGTCCTGTAAAATTAAGCAGCCAGTGAACTTTCCCTTTTGTCCCCTTTGATTCTCTCTCATACTAGAAACAAACAGAAAGATGGACCACGAAGTACTTGAGATGGAAAATATGTACTGCATCTCTAAAATGTCCATTCAGCCTCAACAATTCCATTGGCATACCATAGCATTACGTACAAAATGAATCTGTTAACATGGCTAGAAAAGCATTATCTTAGTGTATCGTTCCCATAGCCTAGACAGCCTATAATAGAGCTTCCCACCTTGAAAGCGCATATTCACGAGGCCCATTTCAAGGTTATAGAAGACGGCTTTTAAGAATACTTGTGCATCACACAGAAGCAAAATACTTAAACTATACAACCATTTAAAACCAACAGACTGTGTGCCAAGGGCAAAGAAACATATATATTCATTATATATATGATATGAATATTCATAATTATGAATATAATTTCCCACTCCCAAACCATTTAAATCACACAAGCTTATTACAACAAAACTGAAAATTATACAAGTCTATCAGACTGAAATCTAGGGTACTTACATATTTAACTGTGCGCCTATATCTCATGACTTAGAAGTTTGGGTCCCGGCATTAGTTTCCCTGTATTGATGTGGTTTTCCAGTACAGCCAGTTGTTTCTCACCAAGCCAGGAAACTGGTAGATACAAATCCCACCGACCATATATAGGTAGTCCTCGAGTTACGACCACAATTGAGTCCAAAATTTATGCTGCTAAGTGAAAAATTTGTTAAGTGAGTTTGTCCCATTTTATGACTTTTCTTGCCACAGATGTTAAGTGAATCGTTGCGTTTATTAAATTAGTAACATGTTAAGTGAATCTGGATTCCCCACTGACTTTGCTTCTCAGGTCACAAGAGGTGATCCCACTGAACCACTGCCACACATCTGAATTTTGATCATTGACCATGGAGTGCTGCAATGGTCATAAGTGTGAAAAATGGTCATAACTTTTTTCAGCGACATTGTAACTTTGAACGGTCACTAAATGAACTGTTGTAAGTCGAGGACTATCTGTAAACCATGGGAACACTGCCTCTGATTAAAAGCCTGATGATAACATTGTTACAGTATGTAGCTAGAGCAGTGATGGCTAACCTTTTTGCCATCATGTGCCAGGAGAGGGGGGCAGGGAGGTTCGTGTGTCTCTAGGTGTCTCAGGAGGCTGGAGACAGCAAAAAAACATCACTTCCTGTCCCACCGGGCGTTGGGAAATGGGCCATTTCAGGCCTCCAGAGGGCCTCCAAGGGGGTGGGGAAGGCTGTTTTCACCCTCCCCAGATGCATAGAGAGGATCTGGAGCCAGGTGAGAAAGAAAAACAGGCCTTCCCCACCCCCACCCCCCCAGGCCCTCCAGAGGCAGGAAACAGGCTGTTTCCTTCCTGCCCATAAGGCCCGAAAATCAGTTGGCTGGCGCGCACATGCGCACCAGAGCTGAGCTGGCATGCCCACTGACACGGCTACATGTGCCATAGGTTCGCCATCACAGAATTAGAGTAATTGACTAACTTTTTCCATGTGAGATTTATTTATTTATATTTATTTATATTGATTTCAAAAATGCTCTACTCCAGGTGACATAATAAAAGCAGAACAATAAAAGGGAATCAGATGATATGCATTCAGATAGATTGAATACAAAAGAATAATATTGTATAAGTAAAAGAGTAAAATTGTATTTGTACCCAAATATTATAGTGGTTCACCCAGGACTTTGCCCCAAAGCTTGGGAAAATAGCCCCATATAACATAATCAGTGTCGGAGCCATATGGGTCTCCGGGGGGAAATGATTCCAAAGGCTTCTCTCTGTTTAACAGAAGAGACTGTGCACAAACTCTGCCAGATTTCATCCAATGGGCAAAAACGAGATATGCAGGAACCTTATTAATATCCAGATCAGCGGTATCATATGGGTTCATGGGTTCATTTCCATGAAATGTCTGTGGCTTTGAAAGAATAAACCAGTGAGAGTAATTATACTACGGTTATAAAGATAATGCATATATTACATATACAACAGCCCCTCAAATGGAAGATAGGAGAGCAAAAGTTAGGAAAGGAACATTGGAGAATCAAATGGAAATTATTATAGGCTTCTACCATCCTGTATATAATTCAGAACCTTCAAAATATATATATATATATATACATTGTTAATTGCTGCATTGTCCTGTGCTTGAAGATAATGTTTGCAAGAAAGTGCCCAATAAACTGCAAGTGACAACAGCATGCTCCTCCTTCGATAAAGAGGGCCCACTCGTTCATGGTCCTGGATTATGTTAGACTACTTGCATAGAGCTCTGCTTTCTTGGGTTGTATTGGTTTGTGCACTGTGCTTCTGTAACTAAAGAAAATTTACAACTTAAATATTTGCCTGTTTTATTCCAATCTAGCCACTCAGGAGCCATATAAGTAGAACAAACAGGAATAGGAAGGGGATATGGCCATGGAACATTTTGTTAGCAATGAACTGCCTGTTCCAAGTCTGGCACTGCAAGTCCATGAATACCTACAGCCTCTTTCCTAACTGAATTCCCAAATCAATTTTCTGTAAAACATAATTTACCCAAAATTCAAAAATTCGTTGTGTTGATTGTGGGCAGAGATAGGATCTGAAGATAGCATTGCAGAGGGCCATAAATAACCCACATAGCCTGTCAGAGCACAAGATCTCTTTATTAGATTTTAGAGGCCAAATGAAGTGCTGGATTACATGATCAGGTATATTGCCCAATTTAACATCTCATATTCTGTCTATGAAGAGACAAAGCCTGGATGACTCTCAGTCACTTCCCTTTGATGTCAACAGAACTATTGATCAAATCGCAGGGAAATACTCCTAGCATCCAACAGAAATTATTGTGAACCATCATGATAAGTGTCTGTAGTGATCCATTAGAATGAGCTTGGAAGATCAGACCAGATTAGATCAGGTCACCCAGGAAGAAACAACAGTAAAATATTTTTAATATTGTTGCCAAGAAAATGGCAGATATGCCCCTGTAGCACAAAAGTCCATCTCAGCTCAAGAAAATATTTCCCTGTTTTAAATGTGCACTGAATTATAACCCAAGTTTATACATTTCTCAATATCGCTGTGCATCTCAGTAGTGGAAAAGTGTTGTTCGCTTGACATTCTTGTGGACTTATAAATACTTGCACAAAATACTATAACATAAATGCAATGCCATCCACAGGAGCTCACTGTTTTTGTCAAAAAGGGGGAGCGCATAATGAAAGGGAAATTAAAGCATATTGGTTAACTTTTGATCCAGGCAAGCTTAGATTTCTGAGCAGGAAATCTGCAGTCAGACATAAAGGATCTTAGAAATTAGCCAGCTTGAGGGCAACAAGCATAAGCAGTTATTTGAAAATGCCTTTTGCAAGCTCTGAATTTTTTTTTATTTTTGATCTTTATTCCAATCCAAGTACAATAGCAATTTGGGGAAGGACGAATCTCCAGCAAATTCAGCAAGTTTTAGCAATTGATACATTGGTAAAATAGCTTCCAATCATAATCTCATAGATTTGTTCTATTTATGATCTTCTTCACTCCTTTCAGGCTTTATCCTGTCTATGATCCAACTTACCTCATTCATTCTTCTGCAACCATATAACAAAGGAAAATGCCAACCAAATTAAGATCACATCATCTCTCACTAGCTAACTACCCGTGTTTCCCCGAAAATAAGACCGGGTCTTATTTTCTTTTGGACTCCAAAGTAAGCACTAGGACTTATTTTCAGGGGGTGTCTTCCCCCCATGTATGGGAGGCCACTTCTGCTTGCTTGTGGCAGGGCAGGAGGCCGCACGGTGTGCCAGCGCCACTGCCATGAGGTGGGGTTGGAACTGCCCCATGCAGTTCTAACCCAGGGCCCCGCAGCCAGGCTACCCACGCCCCAACATCTGCCTCACCTCGCGATGGCAACTCTAGTACCCATATCCAGCAGGACCCTGTGTGGCTGCTGGCCCATTTCTTCTGCTTGCAACAGAACAAGATGCCGAGCAACACACCGCAGCCATGAGACAAGGCAGGTGTCAGGCATGGGTGGCCTGGCTGCGGGGGCCCTGAGGTAAACTGCTGCGGGGTGCACTGGGCAACTCCACCCCCCCCCACTTCACCTCATGACTGCGGCACCGCAAGCAACCAGATGGAATGTGCAGCCGGCCAGCTGTGCAGGCTCTTAAGTAGAGCTTATTTGGGGGCGGGGGGATAGGGCTTATATTAGGCACATGTGTGAAAACATGCTAGGTCTTATTTTTGGGATAGGTCTTATTTTCAGAGAAATAGTGTATATGGCATCCTATTAAAGCCATCAGGGTTTTTTTTCCTTTGTTGATATGGATACATTGCACTGTTGGATATTGTTTGATAAGGCCAATGTTGAACTCTATCAAGATCCTTTTGAACAAAACCAATATTCTGAGGAGACAAAATGTTACCCCCACCCCCACTTCTATCTCCTCTTCTTGGTTAATTATAAAAATGTCAAAGAGTACTAAGTCCCATGCTGAGATACCCCACTTCATACCTCCTTTTATAGATCTGTTAGGTTCTATGCTTTGGGTTCAGTAGTTCGACCAGATGTGAATCATTCTGGTAGTGGAATCATCCATTCTACATTGCTCCTACTTATCAAGAAGATGGCTGTGATCAGTTTTATCAAATGACTTCCTGAAATCTCTACTATACTACATCCACAGCATTTTTATTTATAATCTAGTCACTCTGTCAAAAAAAACAGCAATAAAATGTGCATGGCAATGACCTGTGATTAAAAAAATAAAAGCAAAGAAACAAACATGGTGATCTCTAGAAATTACCTTATGCCTTTCTCATTGCTTCCCCATTTCTTGACGGTCTTTTCAAGCTTTTTCCTGGTACTGACCAGTAGTTTCCATTTTTTGAAGAGTTGGACAGCGTATAGCTTTTCTCCATTCTTCTAGTACTTTTCCTGTATTTCAGGAATTCTCCATGACCTCTCCAAGGTTCCACTTTTGGGAAGAGCCAATTGGGCTTTGAAAGTACTTCCCAATCATCAGATTTTCTTAGCAACAATATGGAAGCAATTTATCACTAACTTCTTCTGGGATTTTATTCCCCTTTGTTTCAATTACTCAATCTAACCTAAATCCTAGAATTCCCTCACAGTCAATCTCCTATAAGCCAATGCTTATTTTGCTTGGCTTCCAAAATCAAACAAGATCAGCTCACTGCTGCCATCTGCTGAGACACATATGCAGACTTGAAACACATTTCTGAAATTCCAAGCAAGGAAAAATATCTAATTACTATAGTATATTTATCCCTGCAAAGGAGGTAGAATGTCCTCTTCCATTAACACTCTCCGAGTTTAGAACTACACACATGCTTCCACTTGCCCTCATGTCATTCATTTCCTGCAAGGCATTTTTTTTGTTATTGAAACAAATGTTGTATTAGCATTCTTATATACCAGTGATCTATACTTCATATAAGAGACAACAGCTGAATATTTAAACAAAAATATAAGGTTATGTGGGCCTCACGGGTAAATCAGATAGGACTCACAACCAGATAAACTAACTTTGCTCCATTGTAAAACTACATTGACAGAATCTTGCAAGTCAGAAAGTATCACCCTCACCACTATCTCTTTTACAGCCTGAGAAATTAGGGAAGGTCCCTTTTGAGCTTCTTACTCTGCCTAATGTGCAGCTGCAGGCTATGCTATCTCTTATCTGACCATTTCCTTGAAGTATCCCTTTGCAGGGCTCCCAAGATCTTTCCCACATATTATTACAGGTTAGTCCATATCTACTACCATGCTGTAACTAAAGGTAAAGGTAAAGATTCCCCTTGCACATATGTGCACCGACCCTAGGGGGTGCTGCTCATCTCCGTTTCAAAGCCAAAGAGCCAGCGCTGTCCAAAGACATCTCTGTGGTCATGTGGCCAGTATGACTAAACGCCAAAGGCGCACAGAACGCTGTTACCTTCCCACCACAGGTGGTCCTTATTTTTCTACTTGCATTTTTTTACATGCTTTCGAACTGCTAGGTTGGCAGAACCTGGGACAAGTAACGGGGGCTCATCCCATTACGCGGCACTAAGGTTTGAACCTCTGAACTGCCGACCTTTCGATCGACAAGCTCAGCATCTTAGCCACTGAGCCACTTTAACTAGAACTAGAACCACTTTATTTTTCTGGATAATTGTTCCCAACCTGTTTGTGTCGGAGACATCATTTAAGGCACTTCCGGGATGAAAAGATTAGCCAAGGGACATCACCATTGCTCAGGGGATGCCCATAGGGGCTCCTTTCATATCCCCATCAAGGAGCTGGAGAGAATGACGGGAGCTCACCCTGCCACGTAACAGCACTTGGGTCTCAAACACGGGCTCGCTAACCTCCAACCCAGCGTTGTAACCAAGTGAGCTACCACACTCCTTAGATAATTGTTGAAAGGATGTGTGAGAACACAGCAATTGCCAAATTTGTAAACATTCGAGCTTATACTCTTGCAGAAAATGGAAAAAGGAAAAAGACCCTCTTGAATAGCATAGCTATTTAATATCACTTCAGATTGGGTTGTGGAGGCCTGGCATTATAGTGGTGTAGAAATCAGATGCAACAGGAGAAAGTAGGAGAGGGCTATCTAATCCTGTCCAACAGGGCCTTTTCTCTCCCCCACTCCCATGGGTACAGGGATCTGGGTTGCCAACAGGCTGAAAGCGGAAGTGCCTGGTATATGCACAGGTGACTGGGATTTCTAATTAAACCTGAAAGCTGGAAAATGGTAATATTGGATTTAGTTCTGCTGTTTTCCAGCACCTCATTAACCTCCGGGCATTCCTTTCATTAGACATCTGAAGCCCAGCTATTCCTTACTTCATGTGTATACTTGACACCCAACTGGGGAAAAATGTCAACACTCCTGCTTGAAAAAATAATCCCCAGTAATTGCTCCAGATGGATGAACAAGGGGGAAATACTAAGGCTGAGGGCCTCAGTCCTGCATTAAGTTAAAGCATGTCTGAATCCACTAGTTTCAATGGGTTTAAACCAGCACAGGTACTATGCCTCAGATTGTGTCCCAGCAGCATTTTAAGAAGCAAGTGAGTGTCTCTTTTCCTCCAGTTTATAACTAGAGATGAAACATAAACCTCTTTTCTTCCTTTGTAAGTAGTAAGTAGTTATCAAATCATTTATTAATTAAAATGGAAATGGAGTTCAAAGATTATAGGTCTCAAGCTGATGCAGTTTAAAGAAGGTAAGTAAATTTGCTATGGGTTTGTGAATGGGGAGGACAGGAAAAGAATACTAAGAAAAAACATCGGAGCAACAAGAGGCATGGAATTTTTGGAATGTAGAAACTTTTCCAAAGTTTTGGGATTCTAGTAAATCCTTCCATAGCTATAGAAGGGAGAATATATAGTACATTTTTTTAAAAAAAAGAAAGAAAACTGGCGGAGGTAGAAATTGCAGCTTTTTACATGTTGAGAGTTAAATAATGAGCCTGGAAGTTCAAGCTATAAAATGGAGCAAGGAAGTAGAAATAGATGTAAACCCCTATAGAGAAAGAGAGTTGGGTTTTACACATATCATTCGTCTGACATTGCATTTGGATGTAAAATGATGATCAAATGGACAATGTAAAGAAATAAGAAAGCCTAAACACGGAAGATTATTTGGAGCCATGTTGTTAGTATGTCTTTCCTCTTTCTTTAAATAACATCTTAATCTAAATAGCAGAATGGGTAGTTCATTCCTTTTGCATCTGTTGAGCACTTCATGATAATATGAAATAGCAATATCAGCAAATAAAATACTCATGTATCACCATGGGTATTTTAGATGCCATTTCTTCATTTGTTGGTGTTTCCCCTGCCCTATCTCATGTATGCTGGGATAGTTTTCCACCATCACTGGTTGATTGGTCAGCTATTTCGCTGTTCTTCAAGCATGTTACAGATCTGCATTGTTACAGAGATTGGAGAATGGAATCCAATCTCTGTAACAAAGGAATTGGGAGCTGGGACTGGCACATCACACATACAAAAATTAATTCCATATTTCCTATTAATCAACAGTATTTCCTTAAATGGAAAATGCTGAACTCCAGTACTGGAAGAAATGTATCTCAGAAACAGCTCTAGTGTTCATGCTTCTTTTGTGAGCTTTTCAATAACCAGTTTAGTTGGTTATTGTGGGAACCAGATGCTGCACTTATCTCTTTAAGCTGATTCCATAAGGCCTTTCTCATAAACTTAATTCAACAACCAAATCCTTTAAGGTATGCACAGGTGGCAGGGAGTCCATGCAGAAATTAGTGTGATAGTGCAGAATTTCTCTTTTTAAAAAGCTGATCACATTTCCATCCTAGTGCTCTTATCTGAATAAGCTCCTTTCACTTATGTTACAATAAGATTTGTTATAGCAAGGCACCTATAGTTATCCAAACACGGATGAACTTCCATCACCATTGTCAATGTTGGCTTGGGCTTCCAAGACTTGTTCAGCAAGATTCTGGTGGCTCACAAATTCCCCATTTCTATCAGATTATGAAGGTGAACAATAACTAAATTCCAGAATGCCATGACATTAGATGCATTCATTACATTTTAGCAATGAAACTTTCCAAAGACTTCAAGACAACAGGGTTACATTCTGAAGAATTTAATTACAGAATTCTTTTGCTCCTGTCTACATTAGAAAAAAGAAAATGAGAAATTGCCAACTGTCTTTGTAGGCTTATTTTTACTTTACATATCATATTTGAAAGGTCAATTTTTAAAATGTGCTGGATCCTTAATTAAAAACAAATATAACATTAGAAATGAAAGCTGTCCGAAGTCCAAGTCCCTAGGATCCCCCTAGGATTTTACTCCGCTAGTCATTGCCAACTATAGGGGGCAATCATCTCCATTTCAAAGTCATTGAGCCAGCGCTGTCCGAAGACAATTCTGCAGTCATGTGGCTAGCATGACATCACAGAGCACTGTTACTTCCCACCAAAGTGGTACCTATTTGCACGCTCACATTTGCATACTTTCAAACTGCTAGGCTGGCAGGAATTCAAGGGCAAGGATGGGAGCTCAACCTGTTGCGTGGGGGTGTCGAACCTGGGCTTTTCAGTTGACAAGCCCAGCATTTTAACTGCTGAGCCACCCTGCCACCCTCAGATTCCCTAACATGGGAAAATTTCATCAACCGATACACAGCATCCGGTTCCATTCATTTATTTGGTTTTTAAAAGCCGCCTTGTAACAGTTGGTGTTGGAGTCAGAATTAATAACACAAATCTAATCTGTATGGGGGGAAAGCATTCCAATAATAAGACAGTTTTTAAACAATAAAGTGCAATAGGGCCTTTCCAAGCACTCTGTTTCTGCAGAGGGCATGAACCAGATTATTAAGCGACCCGATAGCATCAGCCTGGAGAATTCAGCTCACTAAATTTAATTAACGAGGTTGCAGTCTCTCCACAACCCCAGATGCACACCCAAATTTCCCATTGCCGTTTTTTTTAAAAAAAAAACCTATGTAAACAAACACACACACACACACACACTATGCAATCCTGCAAAGAGGTCGTGGTGGAAAGTTGTTTATTTGGCAAATAAAATCGGTTGATTGTCTCCGGATTGGGTTTATTTGTCCTTCTAACTTCCAGCCAAACAACATTTTCCTATTAAAGCCTTCCTGCTCAGCTGGATTAGGGGGGCCCCCAAGCCCACCCTCCGTGCCAGCGCTTCCAATCCATTCAAAGTGATTTAGGAAGCCATCGCCGCGGCTGCCTGAGGGTGCCATCAAGGGCAGGAAAGGGCCTATTAAGCAGAGGGGCTGGAGGGGGCAATGGGAGAGCTTCCTCTCTCAACGCGAAGCGCTGGCAGGCAAGCAGGCGAGGAATGCACCCGAGAAGACCGGGAGCAAAGCGGCCGGAAGATCCTCCTGACAAGGCCGGGGAACAACGGGTCCTTCCTGGCGCAGGGAAGCCTGTGATCCCATCCCACGCCTGATTATCTCCCTAGTTCTGGAGAGGGAAAGCAGGACAAAGGCGACCCTTTCTCGGCCTCCTTCGTCCTTAGGCAGATTCCTCCCCCCCACCCCGCGATCCACACGTGGCGAGAGGTGGGCGGGAAGGGAGACGCCTCCCTTGGGGTCATCCTGGCTGGATCTGCAAGACGCGAGATAAGCAGATAAAGCGGCATCTGCTCCGGCTGTGCGTGTTTTGGAGCCGAGAGACCCCGATCTGCTTCTCTACTTCAAAAAAAAAACTCTGGCCAAGCACAGCGGCCGTCTGGATGAAGTTCGCCCCTAACAACTGTTGTCCCAAAATCGGGGCTGGAAGGTGGGAGGATAGCTGGGCTAAAGAGTCTCTGGAGATTCTCAGTCATCCAGGTCATGGTTGTCCCAAAGGTGATTTTTTTTTCAAGAGGCAATTGGACTTTCTGGGGGTTTTTTTTTTTTTCTTTGAAGACGTTTTCAAAGAAGAAGAAAAAAACCAGAAAGTCCAGTTGCTTCTTGAAAAAAAAATCACCTTTGGGACTTCCAAGAAAGAGAAACAAAAATTGACCGTTGCTTCCCGTGGATCAGACTAAGGAGAACTTTCCTAACCGTGAGAGTAATCAACAATAGAATAGATTGCCTTCAGAAGTTGTGGGTGCTCCATCACTGGAGGCTTTTAAAAAGAGATTAGACAGCCATTTGTCTGGAATGCTTGAGCAGGGGGTTGGACTAGAAGACCTCCAAGGTCCCTTACAACTCTATTCTATGTTTTAATTCCCAGCCTGGAGGGCTTTTTTTTTTTAGCTGGGAGCCTGCTGCCCCCCCCCCCCTCTCTCTCTCTCTCTCGTTGGTTTTACTTTTGGGGGTTTTATTTCTTGGCCTTCATTGCTTTATTGCTATTTAATATTTTAATTATTTATATTATCTCCATATAACCCAGAAAAAAGAATTACACAAATTTGAAATTAAACGAAAAAATCCAGAACACAAGAATAACCTCTGCCCCATCAAAATGAGAATCCAGTAGCTTCTTTAAAATGTGCTATCTGTTGCACAGAGATGGAAATGCGTGTGAAAAGATGTGGCTTACGCCTGCTGAAATAACCCTTACCTGTCTTCATATAATTGTAGTCTTCAGCCGTTCATTACAGCAAGTCCTCACAGGCACTCAGCCCAGGGCCTCTTTTGGCTGCATTCAGTAGCTGTACCAATGTGCTTCTCCCTCAGTTGTAACAGAGTCAAAGTCACAATAAAACTAGCTTTGGCTACAAAACGCTGAGGCTCTATGGAGCTTTGGGCAACCTATTTCCATATCTGACCATACCTGTAGTTCTTAGGTTTCAGTCACTTTAAAAAGTCTTTCAAAGGACTAGCTTGATGAATTCACAATTATCTCTCATAGGACAGGAAGGAGGACCAAGTATGTTCATCATCTTAAATTACTTATACAAACAATAAAGGTGGGAAGAAAAGAAATCTAAATGTTGTGAGATGGATGGATGGAAGGGAGGGAGGGAAGAAGGAAGGACACATCAGGAAGGAAGGAAGGATACATTGGAAAGGAAGGAAGGAAGGTTTAAACTCATAAATCAAGATATGGGATAGGCTGGGATACCAGGAATTTATATTATTTCCACTTTTCATATAGTGGGGGAGAGAAACCTTTTTTTGCAACACTCAGAGGATTGCGAAGTCAATGGAAAAAAAGACGATTGTGTTTCTCCTTCAGATGGCTTTGGAGATGCTGGAGAGTGGCAATGCCGTTATTATTCATACCTTGGAATAAATCCCTTTCCACTCAGGTGGGCTTATTTCTAGCGTTCCAACCTTAGGCTGTGACTCCATTTGCACCTAACCACAGGGATAAAAATCATGTTCATGTGATGTTGCTTTTAGCTGGTTGCAAGACCTTTAGCTGAGACAGGCTCTAGTTGTCCTTGGTTGTGCCAGTTTTAAGCCAACAGTTCTTACTTTTTTTTTCTTTCCCAATGCAATCCAAGGGCAACTTCAGAGAACGGGAAAAGTCTTTTTGGGTGTTGTTCCTAAGAACTTCTTTCTTGGAGGCGAATCAGATCAGCAGCGGTGATTGGAACCAGAGTCAATTTTCAGGCAAATTTCATGCAGAAATTGCTTCTGCCAAGTCAAGTATATTGTGGCTCAGTGATGGGGAAAGTCCCTCAGAAAATAGAAATCTAGAGAGATGTCTGTTCCTTTCTCTGACCTGGTATGCTTTTTAAAAAATCTCAAGGAAGCAGAACCCGAAGGCTAAAAGTATTCATGGTTCACAGGATTTTTCATTAAATTAAGTAAGCATTTTTACAGTGTCTCTCCTCTTTATTACTAAGCCTCTCTAGGGATTCTGCCTTAATATCCTGCTTTCAAGTTTTTCAAAGCAGAAGTTCATTAATTTTTTTTAGAGCTGTCCCTGTTTGCCTCTGAACTGAGCTTTATTTTTTTAAAAAAAACTAAATTAAGCTATGTGTACCACTTATTGTATTGAGAACAGGATATTGGCAGAATAAAATGGCAATTTTAAAAAAACATCACCAGAAATAAAACCTCTCAAGTTGGTATTCATCTGGCACCTAATACCTCGCACCTGGTACCAAGTGAACCACTGTATAAAAGTCATTCCATAAGTGAGACATCAACCCTGAGAAGGATTAAATGCCCCATCATCACCCAACCACTGTAATCTATTGTGTTTTCTTCCTTAGACAATTTTTCTGCCAAGGGAGAACTGGCATTTCCTGATGTAGAAGGCAACAAGGCAACATGATATCAGATAGCAATAACCTCTTTAATATTAGGATTACATTTTGTATATCCCTCCGATTATATCGCTAGAGTCCTGCGGTGAAAGACACAGCTTTTATTTCAGATCTGTTTGTGAATATCTCTCATCAGCCCTGCATAACTGTTCTTCCAATCTGTTTGCTCTTGTGGTTTTATTCTCGTCTCAAATTTCAGCCATTGGCCTTGACTCTTCCTCTTCATTTATTCTAGCCCTCTTTCCTCTCTCCTTTCCTCAGGATGTTGACATCTTAGGAAATTGCTTCTCATCCCTCCGTGCATTAACATTTTTCATATTCTGCATCTTCTTGGCTCTGTCACTGGCAGCCAGATGCTCTTCTGTCTGCCCAGAGTCTATTACTAATCATACTACTGAACTTCCATTGCAATTGTCTTGGCTTTTTGGAAGGGTCAATCCACTTCACTTGCTTTAAAGAGCTTTCTTACTGTCATTTTTAGATTTTTGTCTTCCACTGTTGAGTAGCAATTTTCACTCTAAATTGGGGAGATTTTTGCATTAATCAGTCTTTTCAGTGAAGCGTTGGTTGGTGTTGGTTGATTGGTTGGTGTTGGATGGATGGATGGATGGATGGATGGATGGATGGATGGCCTATGGATCCAGAATGGATTAACATGCCGCAGCCAATTCACTGAAGCCACCTTGCCACAGCCATTTCGGCATGGCCAACTCACCAAAACTAACTCATTGCAGGAACGCTCACCATGGGAAAGCTCACTGCAGGACAATTCAACAATTCATTTTTTTAAAAAAATTAATTTTTGTCATTCACATTTCATTTTTTTGTTTAATGATTCTATTCCACTGTTCCTTCAATATTAGTGTAATTCTTGTCCCACAGCGAGTTGTCCTATGGCAAATTGGCCACAGCAAGTTGGCCACAAGTTGACTGTGGTGAGTTGGCCACGGCGAGTTGGCCACAGGGAGTTATTGAAGACCCTGTTGGGTCCATTCAGTCCAATAGCACCAATAGGGACTTGCTTGACCAGAGTATTTCTACAGACAATGGTCTTCTCTCCATTTAGGACTGATGATGTTATCTAGTTTGGTAATGAAATGTCTGCATGCTAAAATTTGCAAGAAAACAATCAAACTCAGAGAGCACCAAGGTCCCCACTTCTCTCTATTTATCTGATAATGCTTTCTCTGTTCCTCCATGCTAAAATTTGTGTGTGAGCTTTATTCTAGAGAACCACAATTCTCACCAAGTAAGTTCATTCACAAATGCCACAGAGGGAAGAATGGAACCACACACAAACACACACACACACAAGTTGGCTTATTTAATAAAGGGAGCGCAAACTCAGTGCCATTGTCAAGTAAGGCCACTTGTGAACCGGCATGAGAAAGAGAGTGATGGCTTCCTGCCCTTTTTAGTTAGCAACAATAGTGTTGTAAAGGCCTGTGCAGTGTCTTAAGGCCTCTCTGCCATTGGAAAATGCAAGTGGAAAATAAAGGTTGGGCAGCCGGTGGGGTTTAATCCTCCCCACTGCTTGTTTAATGAGCATAAGGGGAGCCAAAATAGCAGGAAATGCTGGCAATACACCAAGGATAGACTCTGTCTCTGAAGTAACACCTCTAACTTCTTCAAGTTGGTGAAAGGCAGCCCCTGATTCACATCCCAAGACTTCTCATCAACAGAAACAAATTAGAGAGGCCTTCAAGGCTGCCGGGGGGCGGGGTGGGATGGGTGGGAGCAGCCAACAGTGTGTTAAGACTTATTCTTCTATTTTCTGCAATAGAACTATTTGTCTAACTTTCCTCTTGTCTGCTTGAGAATGCAGACCAGAAAGAGAAGAAAAAAAGGGGGGGCAGGAGTATTACTGTTGATCCTCCTACAAAGGCTGGGCATCAGTGCAAAAAAGGTGCCATCAGCAAAGAGGACACAGCAAAGCAGCACTGTGTTATAAGAAGATTTTCTGATGACAACAGAGTATCGCTATCAAGGAGGATAACAGATTAACAGAGTTGGAAGGGATCTTGCAGGTCATCTAATCCAACCCCCTGCCCTACATCTGCCTCTACCTAGGATCAAACTCATTCATTACATTTTGACAATGCCTTAGAACAGGCATTGTCAAACTCGATTTCATTGAGGGCCATATCAGGGTTGTGTTTGACCTCGGGGAGGCTGAGGGGGCATACCCAGGGGGGGCATGGCCAGGTCGATGTCACTCGTGTTGGGGGTCGCCTGTGGCAGCCCAAGCACTCTGCCAGTGAAAATGAGCTCCCAAGCTCTGCTTTTGGCGGCGACGGCCTCCTGCAACCCTCTGCCAATGAAAACGGAGCTCGGGAGGGCCATGTGCAGCCCTCTCAAGCTCTGTTTTTACTGGCAGAGACTGCGGGGCGATCCTTTCCTATTTCCAGAGGAGCCCCGTGGGCCAGATTTAAGCACCCCGTGGGCCAAATCCGGCCTGCGGACCTTGAGTTTGACACCTCTGCCTTACCCAGGATATTAGGGCAATGTCAAAAGGACAATTTCCTACTTGTTGGTAAACAGGTTTTGGGACAGGCTGGTAGGCTTTTATTTTTTCAGGGAGGCTACAAAGGAAGCTTTGGTAACTACTTCCCTCTCATTATTTATATGATTCATGCAGCATTCTTTTGCTATTTATAGAACTATTTTGCTATTCAAATTGGGGGGGGAGGGGAATGCAAAGTAGCCAGTAATTAAAGCTTTCTCTTGTCCCCTTCAACCCCGCCTCCTGGGGAGAAAAATTAATGTTGGGGCTGTTCATCAATAATTATCCAGACAAAACGGAAGACACAAACTAATTGCGGTTTAGAAATGCTTCAGCTGCCTAAAGTGCTATTATGCAGAATCATTCAGGGAAGCGGAGATGCCTCATGGCAGGGGATCTCATACCACCACCTCCAAATCTCACAGTCCATTGCCGCCTCAGCTCTTTTTGGAAATGGAAAAATATTTCAATATTCGCTTTTAGGCTTCTGAAAAAAACCGAGTGGGCATTCTCTTTAGCTCTACTCGGTGCTGCTTGTAGACATGCCAGCATTGCACGCACACACACAGTACTGCTCCTGATGAAGGGGTCAGTTAAAAATGGGGTACTCTTGATTCCTGGTTTCTTGATAACAGACTCTGCATGCCCACATTTATGTGTTTATTATATTGATTTATACAGCTGTCCGTCTCACTATGGTCTGTCTGGCCTTACTAGTGCAGAGAGTCAATGAGACAGATCCAGAAGAGGGCAATACAGAGACAGACAAACAGTCTTGGGTCAGCCATTTAGAATTTTTGTACTGTCATACAAACATCTTCATAATGCCAAGGCCTTTGGAGTAAGCCCAGAAGAGGGTGCTGCCTACTTCTAAGATATGATAGCAGAGAAAATTTATATGCTGTATCCTTTACCATCCTGTAGTATCCT